CTGTATGTAGCCTATAACACACCTGTATGTAGTCTATAACACACCTGTATGTAAAAAGCTGTTTCTAATGACATGTTGGTAAGACATCTATATATAAAATAACTTACCCTGTTACTTGCCTACAAGACACCTGTATGTGAAATGCCTGACTCAAAATACCTGTTTTTAAGGGACCTGTACAAACAAATTCTAACTCCAGTTATCTGTCTATAAGAAACCTGACTCCTAATACATATCTGTAAAACACTTATATGGAAAGTTCACCTATTGACTGTCAATAAGACATATGTACACAAAATACCTGACTCTAATTACCTGTCCACAGCATGTACACCTGTGTATACTGACTTTACAGTCTTAACTTGCCCAACACACCTGTAGGTAACTAATACAAATCCATTTACCTGTTTATAATACATCTGTATTAATTTACCTGCCACAGATTACTCAACACCCCTGTATACCTGTTGTCTCTAATTAATTTTCTATGTGTTATATTCTCCTATTTTGGTTCCTGGTCATTACACTGAATTTCACCTATCTAATTTTAAAGTGTATATGTATGGAAATACCTTGACATTGTAGATACAGTCAGGCATGAATGAATACACCTGAACCTTGACAGTTACCTTTTTATGGTTTTCAAACACCACTCTTGTTTTATAGATAAAAACTTAGATCTGTATGCTGTTATTACAGAAATTCTTTTCAAAGTCAGTAATACCTTGTTGTGTTTAAGTAATGCATAAATCTGATCACCATGGTTGTGACTTGGGAAAGTCACTTGATAAATATGTTTGGGTGTGGAGGGACTTCCATTTAGACTTGTTCAGTGTAAGGATTGGGTGGTGTAGAAATCATGTTCAGTATTCTGTCCACAGACAGAACTTTTTTAACATTGGCAAGTATTACGTAACCACATCCACGAAATTGCATTTTTAGGGGAAAATATATTTTGAATTGAAATATTGACACAAAGCCAATTTGCATTGAAATACAGGAAATGTTATTTAGTCACCTAAGGTCCCGGATCTAATCCCAGTGTCAAATACATTGGAAATATTGACACTTTTACTATATTGTGCACATGTATGACAGGTGGGGTGTGAAAAGTATATTCTAGATACATGTAGCGTGATGTAAACAAATAATTCTTTGCTTTAGCAAGCTAATACAGCACTTTCAATATATTGCCATGTTTCTTTGTTGAAATATTTTGCAGACTCTGAATGCTAAGTTATACATGCACACTGAATTGTTGTCCTGTAATTATATATATGGGAATGGCACCAATAAAGTATTTTTTCTTTTTCCTGTGTTAAGCTAACATTCTCACCTCTACTGGTACACCTGTCCTTATCATTGGATCCAGAAACATTGACAGTGTCTTATTTCCTGATTACTGCCTGTTTGCGGTTTAATTCTGTTTAGATAATTTAATACATTTAAATGAGCTTTTCCTGGTGACTATTAAATTTCTGTCATGTGGACTGATTTATTGATTGATTGGTGAAATATACCTGCAAAAGCAGGTAAAGAGATCAAATGTGTGCTTTTTTGGACATCTATACTCCTGACATCAACACCAAGATGTGTTCCAATTACTAGAACAGCTGCAGAGAACAATAAAACTCCCTAGTCATTTAGGAAATATCCCTTTAAAATGTTGTTTTATGTTAGCCATATGTTAAAAATCAGATAGTTTTTCTCAGTCTGTCAATCAGCTAGGCCAATCATACATATCTACTCTATGTATATAAACAGCGATTTACTGTCAAGTCAGGTTGATGATTGATGTCATCAAGAGGCATGTATATCTTTCTCTGTCATTATTAATATCTCCTCTCTCATTCTTTGTTGCTTTCCTTTTATTTCTTTCTCTTTGGTATTTCATTCAAACAATACAAAACAAAATTGATACATCAGTGATATGATAAAGTTTGTTTAATGTAAACGTGATACAGTCTTTGAAGCTATAACAAATAATGATCTAATGTCTAATGGACATTATCATAGCTGGTGATGACAATGTGACATGGATATGTCTAATGGACATTATCATAGCTGGTGACGACAATTTGACATGGATGTGTCTACTAGACATTATCATAGCTGGTGACGACAATGTGACATGGATATGTCTACTAGATATTATCATAGCTGGTGACGACAATGTGACATGGATATGTCTACTAGATATTATCATAGCTGGTGACGACAATGTGACATGGATATGTCTACCAGACATTTTCATAGCTGGTGACGACTGTGTGACATGGATATGTCTAATGGACATTATCATAGCTGGTGATGACAATGTGACATGGATATGTCTAATGGACATTATCATAGCTAGTGACGACAATTTGACATGGATGTGTCTACTAGACATTATCATAGCTGGTGATGACAATGTGACATGGATATGTCTACCAAACATTATCATAACTGGTGACAACAATGTGACATGGACATGTCTACAAGACATTATCATAGCTGTTGACGACAATGTGACATGGATATGTCTACCAGACATTATCATAGCTGGTGACGACAATTTGACATGGATGTGTCTACTAGACATTATCATAGCTGGTGATGACAATGTGACATGGATATGTCTACCAAACATTATCATAACTGGTGACAACAATGTGACATGGATATGTCTACTAGATGTTATCATAGCTGGTGATGACAATGTGACATGGATATGTCTACTAGATGTTATCATAGCTGGTGACGACAATGTGACATGGATATGTCTACCAGACATTTTCATAGCTGGTGACGACAGTGTGACATGGATATGTCTACCAAACATTATCATAGCTGGTGACAACAATGTGACATGGATGTGTCTACTAGACATGGGCCTTTTGCTGGATGTTCAGTTGGGGAATTCAACTTCAGAATGTCATGGCCCATTAAGCTATTTCCTCATTCATGACTTCTTGAGACATCACAAAAATATGAATATTAAACATAGAATAATGATGATAATCTTCACATGCTTCAAATATATTAAAAATACTCCGAAATCAGCAGGTTTATATGAGGTTGTTTACACTGACGAGAATTTTGAATTCTACTTTTGACTTTATAGGCATTAATGATGAGAAAAACAGACTAAAACCTTTAAATGTATATAAATGAAAGATGTCAAAAGAAAATGGGGAATATGTAAAACTTGTGCATTAGACGAAAAATTCATGTTACGAGTGAATGATAACTTACTCAGATGACACAATGAGCACATGAACTTTTGTACAGAATTATTACACTGTATTTCCATGTAGAATTCAATTTCGTGGATAAGACCATGAAATTTGATGAAATTTTAACTGGGTACAGAAAGAGTTTTTTAGTTAAAAGTGGCTGTATTTAGTTACTTGTCTGTGGTTTACCAGGACCTGGACATTTCAAAAACTGCTAGTCACTGCAACTTCATTGGAGTTTACCTTGGTGAGGTGGTGCGAAGATAGGGGACTGTAATTCACCAAATTGTCAGTTTTGAAGAAAATTGGATATTATTCAAATAACTTATTAAATTTTTTGATTTGTAACGCAAGCTTTGGTATCTCACAAGCTGCTACCTACCTGGTTATCTCTATCAATCTATTACTAACATGATACTTGCAGTGTTAAACAGCTACTAACTTGGTTATCCGACAAAGTGAAGCCACTACTGACCTTATAATTGCCCTACCATATTCAGTCACTATTAAGCTGGTTATGGCCCTACTATCAAGAATTTATTTACCTAGTTGCCCCACTACCTAATTAAGCTTTTACTTATCTGGTTATCCCAATATCAAGTCACTTTTATTTACATTATTTTACTATAAAGCCACTGTTTACCTGGCTATCAAGCCAGTTAACATGGTTATCCCACTATCAGGCCACTGTTAACATGATTATCCCACTATTAGGCCAATGTTAACATGGTTATCCCACTATCAAGTCCTGTTTGACTATGTTATACCATTGTCAGGCCACTGCTAACATGGTTATCCCACTATCAGGCCACTGTTAACATGGTTATCCCACTATCAGGCCACTGTTTGACTATGTTATACCATTGTCAGGCCACTGCTAACATGGTTATCCCACTATCAGGCCACTGTTAACATGGTTATCCCACTATCAGGCCACTGTTTGACTATGTTATACCATTGTCAGGCCACTGCTAACATGGTTATCCCACTATCAGGCCACTGTTAACATGGTTATCCCACTATTAGGCCAATGTTAACATGGTTATCCCACTATCAGGCCACTGTTAACATGGTTATCCCACTATCAGGCCACTGTTTGACTATGTTATACCATTGTCAGGCCACTGCTAACATGGTTATCACACTATCAGGCCACTGTTTGACTATGTTATACCATTGTCAGGCCACTGTTAACATGGTTATCCCACTATCAGGCCACTGTAAACATGGTTATCCCAATATCAGGCCACTGTTAACATGGTTATCCCACTATCAGGCCACTATTAACATGGTTATCCCACTATCAGGCCACTGTTAACATGGTTATCCCACTATCAGGCCACTGTTTGACTATGTTATACCATTGTCAGGCCACTGCTAACATGGTTTAGTCCCCTTTAGCTGTATCATCTCACTGTTTATCAGATTATCCCACTGTCAGTTCATTGCTATCTTTATTATCTCACTATCAAAGGACTTGTTGTCCAACTAGACAGTGCTGATTCAGCATGTATCTAGTTAAGTGTTTAGCCATTTATTATTACTTTGGTTATGTCTGTATACTTCAGTTTTAATATAGTTGCATCAACTTATATCCAGTTAATTATTAAATTAACTATAATTAAGATTAATAAATATCAAATCGTCACATATACCAGCAGCTTACATTGAGGCTCAGTTTTAAGTCATGATATAAATTTCTAAAATAGACTTCAGAAATTGCAAAATCAATATGTTTGATGTTACAATGGCCATACTTATGACTTGTTTCTTCTTTTGCAGCAGTGTGTAGTTTCACCTATTCCAGGAAGGACCGGATACAAGCGCTGTCATTGGAGTATCAGCACAAAGGATATGCCAAGTGTATATACACCATACAAGCCCCTGTCAACACATACATAGAACTCAATTTCACCGATCTCATTGGCTTCCAGCCTCATTTTGGTCCTGCAAGCTCAACGGACCCTAATTTTCATTTACCCAATTCCCAGTCATCAGCATCAACGTTGTTGTCGTCCTCGTCACCACTGTTATCGTCTTCATCATCATTACCTGAATCTGCTAAAGCAGAACATTGCTTGCCTCCTGAGCTTGTTATAAGCCTGTCTATAGGTCATAAGAGCCATACTAAAACTTTCAGATTTTGTAAAACAAACAATTTCAAAACGCCTCGAGTCTTTCATTTCAATGCCAACTCCCTGCAGATAGTATATATATGGGAGGAGAATGCACACAGTGGATTTTCCCTGGATATAGATTTTCATCAACGCAACAGTAAGTACCTCTATGTTTATTTATTTGCTTGTGTTACAGTGAGATTAAAAAATAATGTATTTTGTACATTACTAGATTTCGTTATGTGCAGTACATGCTCTTGGCTTATTTATAGTATGGTGTAGTAAACACACATAGTTGTGTGTTGTTTAATACACACTCCCAGGCAGTGACATATACATCTTGCTCCGAGACTATGTTGTATTGTGTAGTACATGCTCCCATACTGTGATATGTGGTGAAGTGATGTTATACACAGACTGTGTTGTAAGGTACAGAGCTGTAAACTCCATGGCTGTGTTGTGTGGTGTTAATACACATGAAGACTATGAGTTTGTGTAGAATAGTACACACTCCCAGACTGTGTGTTGTAAGGTACAGTGGTGTAAACTCCACGACTGTGTTGTGTAGTGTAAATACACTCCAAGGCTGTGTGGTGTGGTGTAAGTACACTCCAAGGCTGTGTTGTGTAGTGTAAATACACTCCAAGGCTGTGTGGTGTGGTGTAAGTACACTCCACGACTGTGTTGTGTAGTGTAAATACACTCCAAGGCTGTGTGGTGTGGTGTAAATACACTCCAAGGCTGTGTTGTGTGGTGTGGTGTAAGTGCACTACAAGGCTGTGTTGTGTAGTGTAAGTACACTCCAAGGCTGTGTTGTGTAGTGTAAGTACACTCCAAGGCTGTGTTGTGTAGTGTAAGTACACTCCAAGGCTGTGTTGTGTGGTGTAAGTACACTCCACCACTGTGTTGTGTAGTGTAAGTACACTCCAAGGCTGTGTGGTGTGGTGTGGTGTAAGTACACTCCACGACTGTGTTGTGTAGTGTAAGTACACTCCAAGGCTGTGTAGTGTGGTGTAGTATATTGTCCCAGACAGTGTCTTGTGGTGTTAGATACTCTTCCAGACATTGTTAAGTGTGGTTTAATGTAGTAAACAACTCCAGACAACTTACTGTTTTGTGTAGCATAATTTGTACTTCCATACTGTGTGTTGTGTTATAGTACACACTTTTAGAGGGTATGATGTGTAGTTTAGTGCCATGCACTCTCTAGTGTGTGGCTGTGTGTTTATTGTGTGACCATTGTAGTACATACTCCCAAACTTAGTTGTAATGTGTAGTACATATTCCACAACCAGGCTGTTTTTTAGATGTTGTAGCACACACTAGACTACATGCTTTGTGGTGTAGTGTACACTCCCAGGCTGTGTGTTGTGTGTGGTAGTACACACTTGCAAGCTGTGCACAGCTAAGTCTGTGCTTTGTAGTTTAGTATACACTCCTAGGCTGTGCCCAGCCAAGACTGTGCTTAGTGGTGTAGTAGTACAGACTCCTAGTCTGTGCACAGCCAAGACTTTCAGGTTGTGTATTGTGTGGGGGTATTACACACTCAAAAACTGTGCACAGCCAAGACTTTGTGCTATATAGTGTAGTATACACTTCCAGGTTGTGTTGTGAGGGGGTATTACACACTCCCAGGCTGTGCACAGACAAGACTGTGTGCTATGTAGTGTAGTATACACTCCCAGGCTGTGTTGTGAGGGGGTATTACACACTGCCAGGCTGTGCACAGCCAAGACTTTGTGCAATATAGTGTAGTATACACTTCCAGGTTGTGTTGTGAGGGGGTATCACACACTCCCAGGCTGTGCACAGACAAGACTGTGTGCTATGTAGTGTAGTATACACTCCCAGGCTGTGTTGTGAGGGGGTATTACTCACTCCCAGGCTGTGCACAGACAAGACTGTGTGCTATGTAGTGTAGTATACACTCCCAGGCTGTGTTGTGAGGGGGTATTACACACTCCCAGGCTGTGCACAGCGAAGACTTTGTGCTATATAGTGTAGTATACACTTCCAGGTTGTGTGTTGTGTGGGGTATTACACACTCCCAGGCTGTGCACAGACAAGACTGTGTGCTATGTAGTGTAGTATACACTCCCAGGCTGTGTTGTGAGGGGGTATTACACACTGCCAGGCTGTGCACAGCCAAGACTTTGTGCAATATAGTGTAGTATACACTTCCAGGTTGTGTTGTGAGGGGGTATTACACACTCCCAGGCTGTGCACAGACAAGACTGTGTGCTATGTAGTGTAGTATACACTCCCATGCTGTGTTGTGAGGGGGTATTACTCACTCCCAGGCTGTGCACAGACAAGACTGTGTGCTATGTAGTGTAGTATACACTCCCAGGCTGTGTTGTGAGGGGGTATTACACACTCCCAGGCTGTGCACAGCCAAGACTTTGTGCTATATAGTGTAGTATACACTTCCAGGTTGTGTGTTGTGTGGGGTATTACACACTCCCAGGCTGTGCACAGACAAGACTGTGTGCTATGTAGTGTAGTATACACTCCCATGCTGTGTTGTGAGGGGGTATTACACACTCCCAGGCTGTGCACAGACAAGACTGTGTGCTATGTAGTGTAGTATACACTCCCAGGCTGTGTTGTGAGGGGGTATTACACACTCCCAGGCTGTGCACAGCCAAGACTTTGTGCTATATAGTGTAGTATACACTTCCAGGTTGTGTGTTGTGTGGGGTATTACACACTCCCAGGCTGTGCACAGACAAGACTGTGTGCTATGTAGTGTAGTATACACTCCCAGGCTGTGTTGTGAGGGGGTATTACACACTCCCGGGCTGTGCACAGACGAGACTGTGCTATGTAGTGTAGTATACACTCCCAGACTGTGGGTAGTGTGGGGGTATTACACACTCCCAGGCTGTGCACAGACAAGACTGTGCTATGTAGTGTAGTATACACTCCCAGACTGTGGGTAGTGTGGGGGTATTACACACTCTCAGGCTGTGCACAGACAAGACTGTGCTATGTAGTGTAGTATACACTCCCAGACTGTGGGTAGTGTGGGGGTATTTCACACTCAAAGGCTGTACACAACCATTCACTGTAAAGCTTTCTGTTGTATGAGGTAGTACACACTCCCAGGCTGTGAATTCTGTCTGAACCCCATTGTGACCCATAGCCTCTCTCACTGTAGACTGTACCTTGCACACGAAAGTATGCACACTGCTCTGCTTTAGCTACCAAGGATTGTCTAGACATAGTAATTCCTTTAAAAACACTACAGGATCAATGCTGCCTTTGTAGAGAGAATTCTGTGAAGTTGAACAGATACAAACTGTATTCTCCTTGAGACTTGGTGATCTTACAAATTACATAATATCAGGGACTTTTCTTCTGTGTAAATATTTTATTTCTATTCCAAAAATGTATTTGAGTTGTTATGAAATATGAAAATTTATTGGGAAATATCTCTGTGTGTTTAACAGGAAAATGAACTAAATCTAGGAGTTTTCTAACTTGAAATATTCTCTGACAACAGGACATGTCCTGGATAGATCTGCATGCAGAAGATCATATAATTTTTCATAAATATTTTAATATGCAGTAGGTCCCTTCTTTCTTTTATAGTTTTTAATCATTAATGAAGAATAAGATTTTATAAAAGATTTGCTAAGAATATATATTTTACAAATGAAGTACATGAAATTGAAATTAGATGTTTTACTAAGAGTCAGGTTACTGTTTTACCTGTATTATACAAACACAAGGGTTAGATGTTTTACACATATTACACAAACACAGGGGTTTGAAGTCTTACCTGTATTATACAAACACAAGGGTTTGATGTTTAACATGTTTTATATAAACACAACAGTTTTATATCTTACCTTTGTGATACAAACAAAAGGGTTTGATGTTTTACCTGTATAATACAAACACAAGGATTTGATGTTTTACCTGTGTGATACAAACACAAGGGATGGATGTAGTTAGTTATTTTACCTGTGTGATACAAACACAAGGATGTGATATTTTACCTGTATTACACAAACACAAGGGTGTGATATTTTACCTGTATTACACAAACACAAGGATGTGATATTTTACCTGTATTACACAAACACAAGGGTGTGATATTTTACCTGTATTACACAAACACAAGGGTGTGATATTTTACCTGTATGATACAAACACAAGGGTGTGATATTTTACCTGTATTACTAAAACACAAGGGTGTGATATTTTACCTGTATTATACAAACTGTGATATTTTACCTGTATTATACAAACACAAGGGTGTGATATTTTACCTGTATCATACAAACACAAGGGTGTGATATTTTACCTGTATTACACAAACACTAGGGTGTGATATTTTACCTATATGATACAAACACAAGGGTGTGATATTTTACCTGTATTACACAAACACAAGATGAGATATTTTACCAGTATTACACAAACACAAGGGTGTGATATTTTACCTGTATCATAAAAACACAAGGGTGTGATATTTTACCTGTATTACACAAACACCAGGGTGTGATATTTTACCTGTATTAAACAAACACAAGGGTGTGATATTTTACCTGTATGATACAAACACAAGGGTGTGATGATATACCTGTATTACACAAACACAAGGGTGTGATATTTTACCTGTATTATACAAACACAAGGGTGTGATATTTTACCTGTATCATACAAACACAAGGGTGTGATATTTTACCTGTATTACACAAACACAAGGTGAGATATTTTACCAGTATTACACAAACACAAGGTTGTGATATTTTACCTGTATCATACAAACACAAGGGTGTGATATTTTACCTGTATTACACAAATACAAGGGTGTGATATTTTACCTCTATTACACAAACATAATGGTGTGATATTTTACCTGTATTACACAAACACAAGGGTGTGATATTTTACCTGTATTACACAAATACAATGGTGTGATATTTTACCTCTATAATACAAACACAAGGGTGTGGTATTTTACCTGTATTACACAAATACAATGGTGTGATATTTTACCTCTATAATACAAACACAAGGGTGTGGTATTTTACCACTATAATACAAACACAAGGGTGTGGTATTTTACCTGTTAGATACAAACAAGGCTTTGATGTAGTTATTTTTCCTGTGTTATACTAACACAATTTTTTGATGTTTTACTGT